AACCCAAGAGGCAAGCAAATTTTGGTAATGATGAGGGCAACAAGTATATAGATGTGCTTTGCACAATTGATCTATGTATTGTGATGAATTTTATGAGCCCCAATAAATTGATTTAAAAAAAAACAGAATAGAAAACCTCACAGAGGAGATTTTAATGATAAAATGAGTTGGGTGATACCTTGTGTGGATCATCGTCAGACTCTTCCTGAGCCATTTCCATCATTGAACACAGTGGCGATGAAGACAAGGATGGATGTTATGCATGGGCCCATTAACACTGACTTCCACTCCAAGGCAGACATGGCTACAGTTACTGCTGAGTGTCTAATCTCCCAGATACCACCACAGAGAGCCGGAAACAGCACCATTTCTTGGTTTGATCAGTCAGCAATCCGGTAGTAGGTGGTTTGATTACATTGGACTATTTCCATCATGGAAAGGGTATTATTTTGTTATTACTGGTATAGACACTCTGGGTAAGATTTTCCTACCCTGATGCCAAGTTTTGCTAACACTATTATATGTGAAGGTACAAAATGCCGTATCCACTGGCCTGGTTGTCCACAGTCTCCCCTTGGATCATTGCTGCTTTTGGTGTGCAGCAATGGACTCACACTCATGGAATCCCCTGGTCTTTTCATGCCACCATCACCCTGAAATAGCTGGCTTGATAGAAGGAGGGAATAGCTTTCGAAAGGAACAATTGTGGGAGCACCTAAGTGACGCTACCTTACAGGGTTGCTGCAAGGTTCTCCCGAGTCTAATATATGGCGCTGCTACGGCCATAGCCCAAAGTTATGACTCTGGGAATCTAGGGTTTAAAGTGGTTTAAAATAATTCAATATTATCTGTAGTGTCCCATTCAAAATTTGTTTGCTTCCTGTCCTTGTGATCATATGCTCTGTATGACTAGAAATCTCAGTTCCAAATGGAGGAATTGTCCTGCTTGGAAGCACAACACTGATTCTCTTGAACTGGAAGGTAAGGATGCTACCTGGTTATTTTGAACTCCTGATGCCTCTGGGTAAAGAGACCAAAAGAGATTTTACTGTATTGACTGGTATGCTCGATCCTGATTTCCAAAGGGAAATTGGCATGACAAGACATAACAGAGATTAAGAAATGTATGTCTTGAGTACAGAACTTCCCTTAGGACATTTCTTAGTACTACCATGCCCTGTGAGGAGCACTGGGGGCAGTGGTTCTGATGAGGATCGTTGTATTTGGTGTCTGGCTAGGTAGATACATATGGAGATACTGTCATTCACAACCCTCAACTATCTTATGGCAAAAGAATCTTAAAGTTTTGGAGACTGAAAGCATGTAAAAATTATCAGTTACTTCTAAGGGCTGGGATACTGATTATTTCAAACAATGACATATGAGACCTTCCAGTTGGCAGCCCAGGGTGCTTTGACCACTGCACCACTAGAGCTCCTAATTTCAAAATGAGGAGAGCATCAAAATGACCTGGATGACTTTCATGAATGACCTCTTTTATGGAGTGATGTGTTTTTCACACAGGTTGTAGCGTATGTTGTAGTGAAATGTAGCATCTAACTCTCAAATTTATGCTCAATCTTTCCATGCAGCCAAATTACCTTCTTGTTGAGCAGAAGGAGACAACCCTAGTGAGCACACACACACACACACACACACACACACACGTCAAGGAAATCCATATGGACCTCAGATATCCTGAACCTTTCACAGCCAGGTAATGACCTAGCCCCACTTATGGCCACAGCCCCGTTCATCACCTGCATGTTCTCTTTGATCCTCTTCTCATTGTAACTCTTGGCCAGAACCACAACTCCACGCTGTAGCTGGTATCGAATGGCAATCAGGGCCGGGCTTCGCTTGTGTTTTTTTGCCAGGGCACCAAGAACCGGATCATCCAAGAGAACAGGGCTGTTCGGGTCCACCCTAGAAGGAAATGCAAAAATGCTGAACACTTGAGGCCAAGTTGTCAATTTGTCAAGAAGCATCTGCAACAGACTAAGGTAGTTTCCTCTAGACCAGTTGTTTCCCAATTGTGTCCCTGGACCAGTTTCATCTGCTTCACCTGGGAATTTTGTTAGAAATGCCAAGTTTTGCTTTCATCCAGCTTTACTGACACTGACTCTGAGCTGATGGGAATCCAGCATTCCATGTTTAAAAAAATCCTTGTAGGCATTTTGCTGTTCTCTTGAGTTCGATAGAAGGAGGTCTGGTGGTGCAGTAGTTAAAGTGTGGGGCGACTAACCAGAAAGTCTCACCTGATCTAATTTAAGATAATTCACAACCTAGCCTTAAAAGTAAATAATTGCTTTGCTTCTTCAGACTTAAGTGTAGGTGATCATGCTGAATCTCTAGGTCACTTTTCAGACACCTGTGTGCCAAGGCCAACTATTTGCATTGTTCAGCTGGCTGAAACCCTGCTTCCTTCTGGAAAAAAAACAAACAAGTAACCAAACAATTGTAAAAGGTGTCTTCTTAAGAAACCTGCCTTTTCAGAGAAGAATGGGTTCCAAGTGATATTTTCAGGAACCTTTGAGAAACAGGCTGAGACTTCCTGAACTTCTGGGACTCTCTTTGTTCCTCGTGGGATATGTTAGCTGCTGCCCCATTTCTTGGGAATATACCTTTAGGCGCTGTGTTCCCTTGCCTTCAAGTTGTTGATGGAATAACAAATCTCCAATATTGTTTTATAACTTAGTTTCTGTTCTCAGAAACATCTTTTTCACATTGACTATCCATAACCTGACCCATAATGTGAAAACATTGGCTAGGTAGTGGGATTATAAAGAAGTAACCCTGCAGCTATACAGCTCCATTTTACCCAAGGAGTTGAAAGTTAACACCAGGGAATAAAGCATACTCACTGCCATGAGTCAATTCTGACTCCTGGCGACCCTGCAGGACACACTGAACTGCCCGCGTGCGCTTCCAAGGCTGTAACTCTATGGGAATGGAAAGCGCCTCTTTCTCCCTTGGAGCTGGCTGGTGGTTTCAAACAGCTAACCTTGAGGTTAGAAGCCCAACGCGTAACCACTACACCACCAGGGCTTCTAGGGTAATTAAAGATGTTTCTTCAATAATGGTATTTTAGACGACCCCCCTTCCCCCCGTGTCTAATCACCAGGTTTTGTCTCGGTGAGATCCTAGAGCACTGTAGGCAACCATGACAATATCCTTAGACTTGCAGAAAGCCAGCAACTTGCTTTGATTCAGATAAGGGTGACATTCCACCTGCAGAACGACAAGGCAGCACAAATGTGTCAGATTACATACAAATGTGGTATTAAAATGTAAGGGAAAATAAAAGAGTTAAAGAAATTGAACAAAAGGTCTGGAAATTTGTATTTGAACTAGAAACACTAACATGAACTAAGAATTTAAAAAATTAATTTTTCTTTCTCCACAGAGAGAATCAAAAACAACAGTGTTTTAGAGAAGAAATAGTTCTATTGACCAGCTCTTGGCTACTAAACGCCAAATAGTATCACCCACCCTCAGGAGAGAAGAGAGGATCTCTTAGCTTTGAACATCAAGTTGTCCCAGAAATCACAAAAGTACTCAGAAAGGATAAAGGAAAGAGTTTGGTGGGTAAAATTTAGCATCAAAAGGAATAACCATAACCTATTGCTGTTGAGTTGATTCCAGCTCATAGCTGCCCCTCAGGACAGCGTATAACTGTCCCTATGGTTTCCAAGGCTGTAAATAATATGGAAGCCAGGTGCCACATGTTTCTCCTTCTGAGTTACTGGTTTGTACTGCTGATCTTTGGGTGAACAGTTGAAAACTTTAACCATTGTGCCGCCAGGCTTATTCCAAAGGAATGATGAGTAAGGTAATTTCTAAGACATTTAATAAGTAAAATCCTCTCACTCCACATGGATGAGAGGCAGACAGACATAGAGAGAGGGAGAGAATAAAAAAGTTGTGCTCATTGATGTTGATTATTACAGCAATTGTTTTCTCCGAATATTCAAAATTAAAGGAAAAGAATTAATTGCATAATTAAAGGTTAAGAATTATATAATTAAAGGATAAGAAATACTTTTATCCTGAGTTAAGAGGGAATATTAATGCTTTACAGAAAAATGACAGGTAAAAGTCGCCTAAAGAGTAGGGAAAATCTCTCTGTACAAACATCATAAAAATAAATGATTGAAGTAAACATCATCAATGGATAATGTTTATCCATGTTAAGTATAAATTTATCCATAAATTTTTGATACTCTTTCATGTCAAATGATAAGTTATAATGGTACTAGCTAATTGTAAAAAGGGAAAACATGATTACAATGAAGACATCAATCTGTCATTGACTTAGACAAATGCTGAAATGTTACATCAGTAAGAGTGGGACAAACTGTCAATATGTGCCTTTTGGTGGAATGTAATTGGAAGGACACACCAATCTCAGGACCATGTAACAAAAAATGTGAACTCTAATATAAACTACCTGTTTTAATTAATAATAGTGTATTGATATAGGTGTATCAGTTGCAGCAAATAAATAGCCCAGGAATGCAAAATGTTAATAATAGAGAAATAACGTGAGGGAGAAGAGGGAGCATATGGAAACTGCTCTTACTTTCTGTACAGCTTTGCTGTAAATCTGATGGGTGGGGGAAGCTCACCTGGTTGCAGACAGGCTTGTACTTGAGCCCTGGCTTGTTCAGAAGCATCTCTAACTGCTTGTGGTTAAAGTTGGACACTCCAATGGACTTGGTCAATCCTGCATCCTTACACTTCTCCAGGGCCTGGGGAAGAACGAGTCATGTGGAATCATTTGTGTGATTTGGCCATAAAACAAGTGAGAGTTAACAACAAAGAAAGGCAAACTCACTGCCGTTGAGTACATTACATATTGGTCTGCTCCCCACAAGGGCAGCAGTTTGAAACCACCAGTCAGCTCTGCAGGAGAAAGAGGAGGCTTACTACTCCCCTAGAGAGTTCCATCTAGGAAATGCACTAGGGTAGTTCTACCCTGTCTTACAATGTCTCTCTGAGTCAGATTAGACTGGAAGCCAGTGCGGTTGGTTTTTGGTTTATTAAGCACTGATATCTCTTACTTTTCCTTTTATTTCACAAGCTACTGCCCTGCCTAGAGTCTTATAATCTCCCTGACCTGAAACACCGAAGGGTTCCACGGCTTAGTCCTATGATCCCAAGTGACCTACTCTTTTTCATGATCTTACGTTTTATCTACACGATGAAGTGTCGTAAATTAATCTCTCTATCCTAGACAAATCCCACAAACCTACATAGTCATAGGTTTATGAATCTGTTGCTGTTCATTTTACAGGCACTCGCTCTAAGCAGACTTGACTGCTTAGTTATCATCTCTATAGGTATGTGCTTAAGCTTTTTGAGAAGACATCAAAAGTTGAGCTTTGTTTTCTGCCAACCTGTTTCTTCTAAAAACCTTCATTTTAGATAAAGCCAATACCACCAGCAATCAGTTCAGGACTAGGCACTGAGAATAAGCCCGGTGTTCCCTATCTCAGATATACCATCCGATCATCAAAGCATTATGTCATCTCTGTCCTCAGTAGAAATCAAGAATCAACTCACTTCTCACAATCCCCCCACTTATAGCCTGTCATTTCTTATCTGGATTATTCAGTGAACTGCCTGTCTGGTCTTGCTGATTTTACTCTTAATTTACTTTGTGCATCATCCACACAGCATTTGGATGCATGGTGTCCAGTAGAGCTCACTATGATGACAGAAACAGTGCATTTCTACATTGTACAATAAATAGGCTAGCCACTTGTAGCTATCGAAATATTTGAACCATTACACACTGCAATTTTTTTATGTTGCTAGGTGCCATTGAGCCCATTCCGTCCCATAGAATCCCTATGCAAACCAGAACAAAACACTACCCGGTCCTGTGCCATCCTCACAATTGTCCCAATACTTGAGTCCATTATTGCAGCCTTATGTCAATCCAGCTCATTGAAATCTTCCTCTTTTTTGTCCCCCCACCCTTTTCCTTTATCAAGTATGCTGTCCTTCCCCAGGAACTGGAGAGAAATGGACAGAACTGATCTCTCCTGTCAACATGTCAAAAGCACTGGGTATTTTTGCCTCTAAGAAGCATTCTGCTGTACTTGGTCCAGGACAGACTGGTTTGTTCTTTGGGCAGTCCATGGTACTTCTAACATCCGTTTCCAGCACCACAATTCAAATAACATTGATTCTTCTTTGTTTTTTCAATGTCCAGCTTTAATATGCATCTGAGGCAATTGAAAGTAACATGGCTTGGGTCAAGAGCATCTGAGTCCTCAAAGTCACCTCCCTGCCTTTTACCACTCCAACGAGTTCTTGTGCAGCAGAGTTTCCCAGTGCAGTTCGTCTCTTGATGTCTTGGCTGCTGCCTCCATGAGCACTGATTGTACGTACAAGCCAGACAACATCCTTGACAACTTCGATCTTCTTTCTATTTATCATCACGGGCCAGTTGTGAGCGTTTTAGTCTTCTCCACGCTGTGTTTACTGAACACTGGAAGCTGCAATCCTTGATCTTCATCAGTAAGGACGTCAAGTCTTCCTCACTTTTGGCAAGCAAGGTTGTGCTCTCTGCACATCGAAGGGTGTTAATAAGCCTTCCTCCAATTCTGATGCCAAATTCTCCTTCGTGCAACCTAACTTCTCTGATTATTTTCTCAGCACAAAGACAGAATAAGTATGGAGAGGAAACAACCCCCTTCACACCTTTCCCAATTGTACTCTTTGCAGTATTTCCGTGTTCTGTCCACCCAGCTATTTTGATCTCTGTACAAGATTTGCATGAACACATTGAAGTGTTCTGGGATCACCATTATTCTCAAGGCTATCCATAGTTTGTTTTTATCTACCTAGCTGAATGCCTTTACATAGTCAATAAGACACCAATAAACGTATTTCTGTGTTCAGACATGTGACTTCAGCAATGATATCCCTAGTCCCACAACCTCTTCTGAATCCAGCCTGGACATCTGTCAATTCTTGTTCATGTCCTGCTGCAACTGTGCTTTGATCACTTCAGCAATATTTTACTTGTGTGTGATAGTAATGACATGGTTCTATCTTCCAAGCATTATGATGGGGCACCTTGCTTTGGAATGGGTACAGATTTGAATCTCTTCCAGTCAGTTGACCAAACAGTTATCTTCCACATTTCTTGCCATAGACTGAGGGCTTCCAGTGCTTCCTCAACTTGTTGAACCATTTCAATTGGCATGCCATCATTTCTGGAAGCCGTGTTTGTGGCTAATGTTTTCAATGCAGCTTGGACTTCTTCCTTCATTACCATTAGTTCTAGCTCATATGCTGCCTCCTGAAATGATGGAATGTAGAGTAGTTATTTTTCCTACAATGACTCTGTGCATTGTTTCCTTCCTCTTCGGATGCCTTCTTGCATCATGCAATATTTTGCCCATAGAATCATTCAGTATTGCAACCTGAGGCTTGACATTTTTCTTGAGTTCTTTCAGTTTAAGAAATGCTGACTGTTTGCTTTTTGGTTTTCTACCTTTAGGTCTTTGCACATATCATGATAGCATTTTACTTTGTCTTCTCGAACTGCCCTTTGAAAATTTCTATTCATTTCTTTGACTTCATAATATCTTCCGTTTGCCTTATATATTCTACAATTAAGAGCAAGTTTGAGTATCTTCTGACATCTACTTTTATCTTTTCTTTCTTTTTTGTCTTTTTAAATAACCTTTTGCTTTCCTCATGAATGATGTTCTTGATGTCCCCCCACAGCTCATGAGATCTTTTGTCATTCGTGCTCAATACAGCTAATGTGTTCTTGAGAAAGTTTCAAAATTCAGGTGGGATAGACTGGCTCCTGGGGATTTGTTTTAATTTTCTTCAGCTTCAACCTGACTTTCAATTTAGCCTCTCATTTCCTGCCATGATCAGTGAGGAGATTCATTTGTCAAATGCAGAGCATAGAGAACCAGAGGAGGAATATTGGAAGTTATTGAGTTAACATCACATCACACGATATTCTAGTTGATTAAACTTATGAATGGAAATCTGTGCCAGAGATCAGTGTGCTATCTAGTTTATGGTAGTAAATATTCAACATGTATTAAGCAAAACAAGGTGTTTTAGAAAACAATTCATTTCAGTTCTCAAATTCTGTGAAGGTTATGGAAATTGTATATTTTAGTCTTATTTTCAGGTGAGTTTTTGGGTAGAGATAGAACTGTACTTGTTGTTCCAAATATCTGTACTTTTCTGAAATTTGACCTCAGCATGGTTATATCAGTATAACTTTATATTTGTCGTTCAAATTTCCTTTATCTTTCTAGACCACCTAGAAACACATTATCCTTTCACCCTCCAAGAGTAATCTTACTGGGTTACTATGCACATAGCCTAGCGATTTTGTCACCTTTTTTCTAGAAGGAAGGCCACATTCTGGAATGACCAGCGAAATGCTACTTAAGGAATAAGTGGAATTCTAGAGCTCGGAGATAAATTTAATTGTGTGTATGTGTGCGTGCGCACACACACACACACACACACACACACACACACACACTTAAGTTCACTTTTCCAAAATCGAGGTTAAGGTCCATAGATTGACTTTCTCAAGATCATACAGGTACAAGATGTGAATCAGGTCCTTCTCCCGTCTTCCTTATCTTTGCAGTCTCCTCCAAGCACTCACCTCCCATGTGACACAGATATCCACTATGTCAAATATTGCTTTTCCATGTTCATCTTGTGGTATCATTTCCTCCCCGGGCTGGAATGCAAACAGACATTATTATTAGATCACAAAACACTCTCTCTACCTCTAGCTATGCTGTGTGCTATTTCTATGGCTGGGACACTAAATCTTCTTGAGGTAGATAGAGTGAATCTGCAGATGTTAATATCTCCAGATGTTAATATTAGCAAAATAGTTTGTGTACAGGGTTCCAAGAGATGTCTTTTAAAACCAGGCTTTCTATAATCCCTTTCATCTAGTGTTCTTTTGAATAAATGTCATATCACTCAGCATTAAATGGAACTCATATTTGACTGATGTTGTCTTTTTCTATTGGGGGTACCCAAAAAACCCAGAATTTTTTTCAAAGTTATGTACTTCATTCCCCCACCCCCGATCTTATAGCCCTCAAAGTACTCTCTATTACACATAGTACATTTTTCAAATCTGTGACTCCATTTTTGGAAATATTTTCCAAACTCATCTGTTTGGATGGCTGAAGCATCTCCCTCATTTTTTTCTTCACCTCTACTTTGTTGTCAAATCGCTGTCCTTTAATGTCCCTCTTAATTCAAGAAATGAAAATAAATTGCACGGAGCAATGTCAGGTGAGTCAGGGGCATGGAGCAAGAGAGGCATGTTATTTTTTGCCAAAAAACCTGGCACACTGAGATGGCTGCATGAGCAGCTACATTGTCAAGGTGGCAAAACTAGACTCCATCTGACACAAATCAGGCCTTTTTTGTTCCACTGTTACACAATCTTTTCACCACCTCTAAATGGAAAGCTTGATTAACAGTCTAACCTGGTGGAACAAACTCCAAATGCACTATGAGTTGACATTTTTGTCAGTTCGGGAGGTTGATGGATGTCAGAACAAATTTTGTCATCAATCTACATTTCACCTTCTTTTGAAACGAGAAAACCATTCATACACTTGAGTTGTTTTTTTCCCCCATAGTGCTATCCTTGTAAGCTGTATTCAACATCACAACAGTTTCTCTGGCGTTTTTCTCGAGCAGGAAACAAAATTTCACAGCCACACGCTGTTCTCTGAAATTGGCCATCACAAAAATGAGGTTTGAGTGAAACTGCTTTTATGGAAAAATTCACTGTGACCAGAGAGAATCTTCCCAGGTGACATCATTGGGTGCACTAGCTCAGAGAGAGTTGCTGGATGCTTGCCTAGTGGGAAAAATGTATACTACCAAAGCTCCACTCTGCCCAGAACAATTCTGGGTATTTTTTGGTACCCCATATATATAATATATATAATTACATAATATATATCTCAGATGTTTCTCATCTGCTTGGAAAGGCAAGAAATAAGTCCCATGTCCTCAATTTCCAGCAATAATTGGTTGCAATATAAATTCAGATTGAGATCCCTCTAACCACATGATGGTACAAGGGTAGGAACATGTACCAAACAGAGTCAATCTAGAATCATTAATAATTATTTGGGATACTTCCCCAGTATAATAGGCCACATACTCTTCTATGAAAAACTTAATCCAACCATCCATGCAAGATAATATTTATACTGACACTGGAAGTGAATTAGGTTTAATTATGTGAACTGCTGACCTTCAGAGACACTGGGAAATGAATAAGGTAGAGATCAACATAGTCTAGCTGGAGTTTTTTCAGCGACGTTTCCAAGGCTGTCCGAACCAACTCAGGTCTATGGAAAGTAATCCAGAGCTGCAAAGATTAAAAATGGAAGTAGTGTTTAATTAAATTTTAATTTAATGAAGAAATATAGAAACAGAAGACATAGGAATTGTGACAGCTTTCCTGTTTTTTTCCTTACCAATGCAGTTCCCAGTTTCTGTAAAAATATCTCCTAGTTAGCCCCCATGATTGTCCTGTATCTTTAAAGAAATTCTACCAATAAGACCCATTTTAGAATCCCCTCAAATAGCATCCATAGCCTTCTGAGCTGATCTCTCTGCCTTGACTTCAACTGGCTCAGCAGATCTCTATAGAAACTTACAGACCTGATTTTTGAGGGCACCCTATGGACACAAAGCCACGTGTATGACTGAGGCCTTGCCTACAGTCATTCAATGATTGCAGAAATATATTTAAACACATTTATTTGGTATAAATTCATGCTTGTATGAACTGGAACCATAGTATCAATATTTTATGGCAGTGGTTCTCAACCATCCTAATGCCTCGACCCTTTAATACAGTTCCTCATATTGTGGTGAACCCCCCCCACCCCCAACCATCAGATTATTTTCGTTGCAACTTCATAACTGTAATTTTGCTACTGTTATGAATCAGGCGACCCCTGTGAAAGGGTATTCAACCGCCAAAGTGGTCATGACCCACACATTGAGAACTGCTGCTCTATGGCTTATCCACATATCTCTAAAGGAGATAGAAACTGTGCCTTGTAAAACAGATGAAAGGATTGTAATTAGTTGTGTGTATTAAATATATTGGGGAACACTGAGCAGTAGCTGTGCAGTGAAGGTCTCCTTACAGGTAATGAACAAAGAAGAGACTGTCACCCATACTGCAAAGACTTTATTGCTCAACTCTTGAGAAGGTTTGGCTTGTTTGTTCTAATATTTAGATACTGTTCTATTGGTTGAAAATTAGACACAATTCCAATTCTTCTTGTGTTTTCCTTCTACCCAACAATCTTATATCAATATGATAATTAGTTTGAATGTATTTTTAGTACATTTATCGAATAATAGGAGGAAATGACTTGAGATAAAAATTTATATCAAGCCACAATTCTGTCCATCATTGTAATTATTTTTAATAGAATACACAAAGCAATTTCACAAACATTGTCAAAGTCTAACCTCAATTAACCATACGAGGGAAGAGTTAGTATCCATTTCAAATCAATAACTGCAAGAAAAAATGTTTTAAACATGTTAATATGTTATCAGCCCCATTCAAGAAACATTAGCTGTTTCTTGTTGGATCCTCCAATAGCACTAGTATATTGTTCGCCGTATTTGACAAATATCAAACCTGAGTTTCAGAGTGTTAATAAATTTTACCATGGCATAATGATAATAAAAAAATTAAGTGGATCATAGATATGTGTTATTCTGTCATCCCTGTCAAGTGACAGGCTCAGAACATACAATATTTTAAAGTCACAGAATTTGAGCTGAATAATTGAGAAGCCATCACCCATCTTTTCTATTGTTATGAGTTTTGTACATGCGCATGTATGAATGAAAGTTAAGCAAATAAGCATAGTCTACCAAACCACTCAAACTTAGTCAATTTCCATACACAGTCTTTTCTTACACACGACGACACACAGAACACCTTAGAAGTGTAGAATATGTCTTCTCTCTTAACAGTGCCATCAGCAATCTTGCTTCGGATGGCTCGTCCGACTTCCTCTTCATTTTCGTACAGTAGAGCTGAATCAATATGACGAAACCCGGCATCGATAGCCAACTTGGTTGCCTTCTCAGCCTCACTCTTGGGCACCTAAGGGGTAAAGACATTGGGCAGGAATTTACTGGCTGAGCGGTAGTTGGTGCCATAAGGACTGAGCTTCACCACAATGAACCATATCCTCATGTCTTGGGTTAGTTCTGCATGTAAGTTACCCAATGGTTTGTTTAGAATTGCTTCATTTCCAGGGATTTCTAGTTCAGAATTCCCTTCAGTTTCAGGAAAGTTGGGTAGTTTTCCACTGGCTTTGGAGTCACCTCTTGGCTAAATAATTTACAGCACATGGTTGTTTCCATTAGTGTGATTTATTAGAGTGAAGTGACAAAAATAATAGTGACAAAATAGTGACAAAAATATATAACATAGATTCATCCCTAAGACACATAAACTAATCTTAAACTTGTGTAGCTGAAAGGATTAGTAAAGTAGGTGTCTGCCCTGAAAATTAAGGCTAATTCAATTAGGGAGGATATAAGTATAGTGAAATTCAAATGAGTGGCTTTTCTACTAGAAGTTGAATGCGTGGTTTAGAGAGTGTTGAATAAAAAGCAAAAAAAAGAGGATATAAAGGGGAGGAGATGAGCCAGTCAGGGTGCAGTGTTGCAATGATGAAGCATACAACTTTCCTCTAGTTCTTAAATACAGCCCCCACTGTGCCCCTCAAGTATCATGATCCCAATACTACCTTACAAACCTGGCTAGACCGGATGTGTACACTGGAAACACAGAGAATCCAGGGCGGATGATCACTTCAGGACCGGTGGTGAGAGTGGTGATACCGGGAGGGTGGAGGGAGGGTGGGATAGAGGGGGAACCGATAATAAGGATCTACATATAACCTCCTCCCTGGGGGACAGACAACAGAAAAGTGGGTGAAGGGAGACGTCGGACAGTGTAAGATATGACAAAATAATAATTTATAAATTATCAAGGGTTCATGAGGGAGTGGGGAGTGGGGAGTGAGGGGGAAAAATGAGGAGGTGATGCCAGGGGCTTACGTGGAGATCAAATGTTTTGAGAATGATGAGGGTGGAGAATGTACAAATGTGCTTTACACAATTGATGTATGTATGTATGGATTGTGATAAGAGTTGTTTGAGCCCCCAATAAAATGATTTATTAAAAAAGGAGGAAATAAAATGTTTGTCATGCTTTTAAAGGTATCTTGGAGAACTTGTTTTTCAACATAACCATCAGGAACTAGACCTCAGTTACTCAGGCCTTACTGCCCTTTGCTGGCCCCACCCATGCTCCCTTTTGAGATGTAGGAGCTTCAGCGTGCTACCAAGTGTGAAGCTTCAGGTTTTGCTTGAATTTTCCCTCTTCCTTTGCACTCCTAAGTAGAAAAGTCCTGTCTTTGTTCTCCATAATATGTCTTGAATATTTCCTTTCATGTTTCAGATGGGAAAAGTGAGACCTAAAGCTCAGCCACTCTTCCCTTGGCACACAGCTTGGTAGTCTGAAAGATAAATTTGTAGTGCAGACGATCTGACTTGTAATCTACTGCGCTGACCCTTTTGTTCCCTCTTCTGTGAGGGGACTGACTCTACCTATTTGCCTCAGATATAAGGTTCATTGAGAAGAAGACTTGGTATATATAAGTCTGTGTGTTAGTCTGGGTACTTTAGAGAAACAAATCCACAGAAGCTCATGTAGAAGAGAGAGTTTTGTATAAAGGTTAAATGTGCCTCAAGAAAATATCCAAACCCAGTGCTACCCAAGCCCATAAGTCCAACATTAACCCATATGTTCGACACCAATCCACAAAGTTCTCCTCCATCTCACAAAACAGATGTAATGATGAAAGCCGAGTCAGTGAATGTGTAAGCATCTCAGCACTAGCAGGGGTCTCCACACGGCTGCTCCAGCACCCAGCACTGCATCGGGGTAGGTCCATGTGGCTTTTCCTTGGGGATGTCTTATAGGAAACCAGCCTTGCAAACTGAAGCAGGGAACTGCTAAGGCAGCTGCACCCTGGTGTGACTATCACAAAGCAAGAGACCGGAGAACTAGAAAGGTGAGGCTCACCGAGCCATTTATCCCTCCGTCCTTCAATTAACCCCACATGTATTGGTACAAAAACTACCTCAGTCTGTATATAGCTTTTCTGTTAACCAGATTTTATTCCATATTTCCTTTCTGGATGAGACTCATAGTGAAGGACACTTGATTCTGTCCAGGGGCCTGATGCTCAGCACCCAAACTGTAAATCTCTCCCACTGTTCTTTAGACACCTTCATTTCTACAACACTTTACCTCCAACACTGCTCTGTATCATGTATCATTGGCAAACTCACTGCCACTGAGTTGACCCTGACTCTGAGCACCGTGGTGGCACAGTGGGTTATATGTGGGGTGATAACCAAAAGGCCAGCAGTGTGAAACGGCCAGCCACTCTGTGGGATAAAGATGATGTCTTTCTACCCCTGTACAGTTACTCCAGAAACTCACAAGGGAAGTTTTGCTCTGTCCTACAAGGTGGCTATGCCTATGGTGTCTCATTAGCAGGATGAACTATTTCTTGAGTCAAGAAATGTACAGAGAAACCCTGCCCACTGTAATCAGTCTCATGACATGGCAGCTGACAGAGTTTTTGACAGGCGAGGTTAATCTTTTCTGACAAATTGGGACACTGATGAAAACAGAAGGGAAAACTAAGGCCCAGAATATTCTGTTGGTGACCCTACTGAGACCCCAAAACACTGAGTAGGCTGTAAGCTTTCCTATTATGTCCATGGACTAGCAGGAGCCTGATGGAACTAAGGCCCTAGTGAGTCCCCCACTCCGTACTCCCGAAGTCACACAACAACTGGAGATGTGACTCCAACCCAGTCTGCTCCTACGCATCCGGGAGCTGTTCCATTTGAACCTTCAATCAAAAGATGCCCACGCTTACCTCAGCTGGTGCATACGTGCCAAACCCCAGGATGGGAATGTGGTGGCCATCATTTAGTTTCACGCACCGATGTCTGAGGTCCATCTTCTGTCGCTGTTCTAGCTAACCCGTGCCTGTGTTCTTTCCTCTGCTTTCCCCTGAAATAAGGTCAACAGAAAGGAAAAACACTCAGGGCCGGCAGCACACTCAGTGCCAGCGTCAAGGATTTGCAAAAGGAATGCAAGGAGGGGCCAAGCTTAAAGCAATATTACATGGAGTGAAACTGTCTCAGTGTGACTACGGTTTTTCATGGAAGAGAATTCCTGAGTAGTCTTTAATGACAAAAGAAGTATTAGTAAATATTCTCTTCAGAATCTACAGCATGTTATTTAAAATGATAAGTTGATATTCACTGAGAAAGCTTTGTCCTTTTGTTAGACTAGGAACCCTAGTGACATAGTGGCTAGGTGTAAGACTGTGATCCGCATGGTTGGCAGTTCAAAACCATCAGCAGCTCCTTGGGCTGGGTTTTTTACTCCGGTAAACAGTTGCGGTCTCAGAAACCCATCGGGCATTGACTCTATGGCAGTGAGTATTGTTAGACTAGACACCTCCCTGTACTAATCTCTTTGTTATTTTTACTCACGATGATGCCAACATTTCAGTATGTTACATCACACATGTGCATGCACACCCACACATAGAATTGCATACAAACTGTTTCAATAAGTGGTTCATGAACTATTTTGAAAAAAGTCAGTCCTCAATAGAGACTCAGAATCAGAAATTAAAAGAAAAGTATCATTTTACCCATTCTAAACATTAGTTTTCCACTGGCTTTCTTTATTTTGCAATAAAAATATCGGGCATTGGCAAAGCTTCACCAGAACAAAAGAGAAATCTGGTATCATCTTTCCTGAAGTGTAAATGGTTAACAGTGTTTCAACATCATTTTGTGATATCCAAAAAGAGCCCAGCAGTTATTCTCTGTTACGTAACTTTTAGAAAAGGATTATAATTAACTAACGAAGAATGTAGGCAAATTGTGCATATAATTTGCAATCTTGCTCTGCAATGTTCATAAAAAGAAAACTTTGAATCAGCTGAGTTTACTATGAATTTGGGAAATGTGATATACACCATAATTCACCGATACAATAGAATACATTGAAGCCATTGAATTATATTTAGGTAGAATTTAAATGTAGAACAAAAGAATATGAATATGCTGATTACAAACCAGAGTGAGTATGATACCTTCATAGTAATACCACATGGCTGTGTAGTATGCATGAGTAGAAGGGCCAGACTGTAAACTGTAGTCATGTGTGAATGGCAGAACTGTGGGTGACCACTCATTCCTCTATGGATACTTCTATAATTATTATGTGTCACATTTTTAGTTGCAAAGAAAAGAGTCCTGGTAATGAGAGAAAATATCTGCCTCACAACAAGTGAATAAAAGAGATTTTCTTGGCAGATGCTTAACTCTCGATGTTTATCTCAAATGCCTTTGTTGACCTGGCAATGACCTCAGCTGCTGTTCTCCCATCTACTTTGTTACTTCTCCATCCAGAAAGAAACTTCTCGTTGCCTCTTCTAATGTAACACAAAGTTGGAATTCCAGAAGTCTCCTTGCATTGATCTGGGCTGGATTTCCTGGACACTGCTACTATTCATCCTCTCTCTTGAGTTTAATTTTTGGGCCAGCATTTGGATTTAAGATTATAACAAATCCAGAACCAGGAACATCTCAAGTGGCCTAATTGTATATGTCATAGCTCATTAAAATATCTATTGGAATGGCCTGGTCTTAGGACCATAATTATCTGCTTCTCACCTTACACCTAGCTATTCTGAGATGTCTTAAAACACCCTTCAGCAGTGATCTCTGTTTCTCTTCTGACTGTTAGCAGACTCGAATTTCCCATAGAACACATCAGAAATAACTGTTGTGATTCTGTGTGCCGGATGATCCTTAGTACCCTCTGCAGGTTTCCAAAAGCATCTTAGATACCTCCCCCTTTCTTGTTTCTCAGTACCACCTGCCACTATTAATAATTCATGCCCTCTTTCTGTGCTTCCATCGTTCCAGGAAAAAGAAAATCTTGGAGTAGAATAAATTACACACTTACAGATTGTCAATGTTTAATGGAAATACTGAAGGCCAATTCAAAGCATAGAATAAATGCTTTGCTATGACGATGGATAAAAGATTTTCATTGGAAAAGGGATCTATATTAATCTTGAGAAAAATTCTCAGGTATTCAAGAAAACATTCTACAGGACGAATTTTGACTAAGACAGAACACAGATGTCCATTGGCATTCATCCAGCCTGGGTCCCCTGAGAGCAAGTCCACCATGTGGTTGACTAATTACTCCATTGTGCTCGAAATGTTTCCCTAGAGAGGGCACCTGACTTTCCACCACAAATTCAAGTGCACAAAAAGTAAGCACAGTTGTGTTTTCTTGAAATTGGTTTGATTTGGGCTATTTCTACCTTGATTATTCATAGTGAATATCATGAGGGCTGATACTACCATCTCAAAGACTGTGAAGTGAGACACTGGGAGGGCCCTCTGGCCACTGTCTACACTGAGAAACTGATGTTGTAAGTCCGTTGGTGTGTAAGAACTGAGCAGCTGTGATGGCCTCTGCTCTTTGGCTCAGCTCTCAGGTTGGCTTTGAAGGAAAGAAAGCAGTTTCTAACTTGAGAACTTATGGGTATGTCACCAGCAGCCACTACTCTGGGAGAAAGCACCTGTTGTAATTACTCAAGGTCAAAACCAAAGCAAAATGAGAAACACCACAAGTGAGTGGAATCAAAGAAGAACATTATTGCATGTATTACAATTCTGGAGGCTAAATGTGTGCATGAGGGTCTCACTCATGTCAATTATTTATGTGTGTCTGTCTCCTAGTTTCCTGGGTCTGTCAGGATTCATTTGAATTCCCTTGATTGTAAACTAGTCCCCACTTGGCATGTCTTCCCACTGTTTGTGTGGCTTTCTGGATATTTTTATCTTTGTAGAAAGCATGATTCAGAAATGATTAGGTTTAGGACTGACGACTATAGCATGACCTCATTTACATAAAAAGAAACTGTTTTAATCTGGGTAGACTAGAGAAACAAATTCAGAGACACGCATATATGTAGAAGAAAGAGCTTTATATACAAGAGCAATTGAATTTGAGAAAACGTCCCAGTCCAGTCCAGATCAAGTCCATAAGTCCGATCTTAGCCCATATGTCCGATACCAATCTATAAATTCCTTTTCAAACTCATGAAACACATGCAATGATGCTGAATACTGGAAGATCATAGCCCAGTGGATGGAAAGTCTTGTGGATCCAGTGTCGTTTTAAGCATCTCAGCACTGGCAGGGGTCTCCACGTGATTCTTCCAGCTCTCGTAAGAAATATTTTTCAGGGCGTGAGCTGGTGTCCTGCCTCCGGTGAGCTATTTATCTCCTTAGTGCCTCCAAATGAGGTTATTAAGCTGTGACCTGATTGACAGGTAAACTCCACCCCTTCACTCATAAGTCTCAAATTGACAGCCAGTTATGTATCATTGTTTAGCTCTATGGCCTCTTCGCTGAGTTTCTTTCCCAATGATCTATCTTTCTCTGATAGCAGAGTGTTAAAGGCACCTACTATGAATGTTGAGTCTGTGATTTCTTTTTTCATCTTTTTAATAGTTTTATGAAATTTGCTGCACCATTATTAGGAGCGTAAATATTCAATATGCTAAGTGTTTCTTGGTTTACTGAACCTTTGAGCATTATGTAGTGTCCCTCTTTGTCTTTTTTTAGGGTTTGGATCTTGAAGCCAATTTTGTCAGAGATTAAGATAGCCACCCCTCCCTTTTTTTGAGTTACAACTAGATTGGTAAACTTTCTGCCAACCCTTTATTCTTAGCATATTCTTGTCTGTGAGCTTAAGATGTGTCTCTTGCAGGCAACAGATTGATGGATTGTGTTTTCTGAGCCCGTCCTCAAGCCTTTTTCTTTTAATGCACAAAGTGAGTCCATTGGTATTCAGAGTTATTATCACTATCTGTGGATTCATAGTTGTCATACCCTGTTTTGTGTTTTGGGTATTTACCTATGTCACTTCATATTAGTGTGCTGTGTTTGAGTGGAGAATTTCTATCTTGGCTTTTTTTCCAGCTGAGACCCTGTTGCCCTGGTAATTGTTGCTGGCATGTTGGCTTCTAGATGGAGATGGGCTTTATGGTGGTCTCCTGTTTGTTCTTGGTGGAGTTTGATCCTTTGGCCATAGTGAGTCAGCCAGTATCTTCCCCAGGGCTGGGTGTCTTGCAGCATATTCTTTGAGTGCTTCCTTGTCCTGTAAGACCCTCATCTCACCATCTATCTTAATGGATAATTTGGCAGGGTACAGGATTCTTGGGGGAGGCGTTTTATTCTTTCAGCTTTTGGAAGATGTTGGTCCATTCTTTCCTCCTCTTCATGGTATCTGCTGATAGGTCTGTGCATATTCTTACCTACGCTCCCTTGTTACAATTCAATTGGTAAACTTTCTGCCAACCCTTTATTCTTAGCATATTCTTGTCTGTGTGCTTAAGATGTGTTTCTTGCAGGCAACAGATTGATGGATTGTGTTTTCTGAGGCAGTCCTCAAGCGTTTTCTTTTAATGCACGAATTTAGTCCATTGGTATTCAGAGTTATTATCACTATCTTCTGTGGATTAATAGTTGTCATACCCTGTTTTGTGTTTTGGGTATTTACCTATCACACTTCATATCAGTGTGCTGTGTTTGAGTGGAGAGTTTCTATCTTGTCTTCTTTTCCATCTGAGACCCTGTTGTCCTGGTAATTGTTGCTGGCATGTTGGCTTCTAGTTGGAGATGGGATATATGGTGGTCTCCTGTTTGTTCTTGGTGGAGTTTGATACTCTGGCCATAGTGGATAACTTTGCAGGGTACAGGATTCTGGGGGAAGCGTTTTATTCTTTCAGTTTTCAGAAGATGTTGGTCCATTCTCTCCCCCTCTTCATGGTATCTGGTGATCGGTCTGTGCATATTCTTATCTATGCTCCTTTGTATGTGACTGTCTTCCTTTGTCTTGCTGCTCATAAAATTTTCTCTTTTACCTCAAAGTTGGATATTTTTACTATTATATGTCTCGGCGTGTTCTTGGGGTCTAGTCTAGCTGGCGTCCTTTC